TGAAGTCAAGAAAACCTGAGTTCAAATTCAGCCTCAGACACTCACTAGCTCAGCTTATCTGATCTCAATCTAACACTATCCACTATACCACACTACCTATTGGGTGGGAAGCATGCTCTCCTCACTCTTTCACCACACCACACTCACATGTTCTTTGCCAGTTGAGAAGTTTATCTTCCAACTATATCCTTTTTCCAAGAGCACACCAGTTGTAATAGGGGGAAAATGTGTGCTCCTGGGCAAGTCATTTAGCCTTGTTTTCCTCATCTTTAAAAGAGAGATCATAATAGCACCTGTCTCCCAAGGTTGTTGTAATGATAAAATGATAACATCCATGAAGTGCTTTGCTATATAGATGCTAGCTAGTATTATTCAAATGAGGAGGTTAGACCAGACTGATCTCTGAGGTCTCTTACAGATCAAACATTCTGATTCTCTGTCATGGGGTGGGGGGTGGGGAGAGAAGAATTGCTCATTTTTAAGGTTTTTAAGGTTTCCCTGGACTTAAAAAAAAAGTCCATGGTGCTAAATCCTGACCTCCTCTCTCCTCTCTCCTACTTTCAGCTTAAAAAACACTTGGTAACCTTACTTCCTCTGTACTTTGGAGAATTTCAGTGTCTATATCCTCCTAATATGAAACATTAGATGAATGTCTCCAAGGGGATCAGCTCCTTGAACAATGGCAACACTAGGAATGGCCTTCTGTCTTTACTATACCTTGATGGGGAAAAGACAGAAATAATGAACACAGTCTGGGTGGTAAGAGATATCCCTGCCCTTTTCATCTCCAGATCATTGAGGAGACAGAAGAATGGAAAGCTGTCAGCGGCTTTGGAGCTAAGGGAAGAGAATGCAGATATCAGCTCCAGCCTATGGAAACGAAGGGGCAGGAGTACATTAGTGGTAACAGAAGCCTTACTTAAGAGGGACCTGACCTGCTCTCTTTAGGGAGATACCAAAAGTCATCAAAGATGAGATGAGGACAGGCAGTCACTTTCTCCTGTGTAAATCTATCAGGAAGAAAGAACTGGTGCCTGTCACGCCGGCCCTCACTCCACTCAACACCCCATCCCCTCTTGAACTCATCTACCTTCTCTCCCCTTCATCTTACCCCCTTACTTTCCTTCTCCCTAGCGTAAGAGAGGAGGCAATCTTTAGCCTAGCTGAAGAGAAGTTTGAACACTGGGAAGTGGAATGAAGGGGGCAGAAGAGGTGAGGGAATAAGTACTTATATTTATATGTGCCAGGCATTGTGCTAAGTGCTATTTTACAAATATACCATTGGATCTTCACAACCCCATGAATCAAGTGCTATCATTATCCCCTTTTTACAGTTGAGGAAACTGAGGCAAGCAGAAATTGAAGTGATTTGCCCAGAGTCACACAGATATTTGAATTTGATTTGAATTCAGGTCTTCCTGACTCCAATCCTAGAGTTCTATCCATTGTGCTACCAGTTACTTGAAAACAGTGATACCTGGGACACTGTATATAGAAAGGAAATTGCATAAGCTGATAGATAAGCAGAAGCACTTCCTACTTGAAGAACTAAATACAGGAAAACTTTTACAGGGGCTACAGAAAATCATATGGGTTTGAAGGGTCGGTAAGGAGGTAGTGACTGTGAACTGGGCTGTAAAACATGAAAGATCCTAGCTGTGTGACCCTGGGCAAGTCACTTAACCCCAGTTGCCTGGCCAAAAAGTTAAAAAAAAAAGTGAAAGATCTCAGGCACAGAAATTCTCAGGCCAGCTGGTGTATTTTCCAGACCCTCTGACTTCCCTGCATCTTCTCTATTCAGGCAAAGGAGCAGAAAGAGATTAAAGCATCTCCAGCCTCACAACATGGAACTAGGAGAGTCTTTTTCTAATCAGAAGAGGGTGATTTTCTACTCTTTTCTTTAATGAAAGAGAAATCTTTCCCCCACTCATCCTGAATACAGCTAGTTTAGACTTAGATTTCTTCAAAATTTAAACATATTAAGACATCTCTTAAAAGCAGAGATTGCCCATAGCAATCTGAAACTTTTAGTAATAAGAAAAATAAATAATATTGATAGAGCACCTACTATGTGCTTGGCTAAGTGCTGGACTAAACACTTTACAATTATTATCTCATTTGATCCTCACAACGACCCTGAGAGGAATGAGCTATTTTTAGCCACATTTTACAGATGGAGAAACTGAGGCAAACAGATTAAGTGACTTGCCTGGGGTCACAAAGTTAGTATAAGTGTCTTTAAGGATGAATTTGAACTCAGGTCTTTTACAAATAGTCTGGCATATAGAGTGCTTTAGCAAGACAACACCTCATGACTAATTTTAAAAAAAAAACAACTTATATCCATACCTAAAAATTTTTTTCAACAAAATTCTGTCAATGTAATCATGCTCATTAAAATTACTCTATATTTTTATGACACCCAGTACCATAGAATGGCCCTTCAAAGACTTTTCAGAAGGTGAATAGGAAGAACCTGTCAGTGATGAGAGCTCTATGAGAGATTAGAACATTACTTTCATCATATTATCCCCCCTGCTCTTAATTCTCCAATTGCAGTCAATTGCCTACAAGTTCCCAGCCTGCCATTCAAGGCCCTCTGTAATATGGCTTCAACCCAGTTATCTAGTCTTCTCTCCCACCGTTCTCCAACTTAGAATGATAGAATCGTAAAATCAAAGAGTTGGAAGGGGCCTCTGAGGTCATCCCATGCAACCCATGCAGACCCCACTTGCTGAGTGACCACAGACAAATCATCCGGCTGTCAGGGTAGAAATGAGAGGAATCCTGGAGGGAAGTAACCACCCCTTCCTAGAGTCTGTGAAAGAAGAGAGGAAATTCAGGCACAGCTGGACATGCCTACTAGATTTGGTGAAAGTCAATTTCAAAGGGCTCGTAGGAAAGATGGGTAGAATCCCATGAACTGAAATGCTACCAGGGAAGTCAGCCCAGGAATGATGAGAAATGCTTAAGAATGAAATTCTGAAGACACAAAGGAAAACAATTCAATCAGGAGGAAAACTGGGCAGTGTCTGCAGCCAATGTGTGAGGAATTCACCTTATTAAAACTTGGGGTTTTTTTTTTTAAGCATACTGAGAGTGGAAACAAGGCCAAGCAACAGAAGACAAATACAAAAGCACGGCATGGTCATGTAAAAATATTCTCAGGAACACTAAAGCTCAGAATGATCTAAGGGGAAATAAGGACCACAGAAAGGTGGTAAGTTGTTTAGTGATATTAGGAGAGGGGAAAATAGGATCAAAGAAAGGATGAGAACATTGCTTGGAATGATTATAACTGACAACAGAGTGAAGGGAGAGCAGCTCATTTATTCTTTGGCTTGTTTTCTCTGCCAAGGAGAATGGCCTTTGTACTGGAAATGGCAAAAACAAGGATGGTTAACACAGAGGTGACATCCAAGATAAACAAGGAGATATTAAGAAAGTATCTGGCTGCCTTTGATAAATTAAAGGCATCCAGCCAAATGAAAGGTCCAGAAAGAACTGGTACATGGGAAGAGATACCACAAGATGAGGGGCAGCTAGAGGGCACAGTGGGTAGAGCTATAGTGCAACTAGTCTGGCCAGAGTCAGAAAGACTCGTCTTTCTGAGTTCAAATCCGACCTCAGACATTTACTACCTTTGTGTGACCCTGGGCAAGTCACTTAATCCTGTTTGCCTCCATTCCCTCATCTGTAAAATGATCTGGAGAAGGAAATGGCAAACCACTCCAGTGTCTTTGCCCAGAAAAGCCCAAATGGGATCATGACCAGTCAAACACGACTGAAACAACTCAACAACCACGTGATTGGAGAAGGAAAAATGTTATCCTGATTTTCCAAAAAAGGGAAGAGAACTGTAACTGTAACTATAAGCCAGTGGTCTTGATTTAGATTCCTTGAAAATCCTAGACTGGATAAATAAAGAGATGGTTGGGAGAACATCACAGTATAAAAAGAAGTGCAATCACAAAGAGCCAGCATGACTTCATTGAGAGCAAGTCATTCCAGGCTAACCTCATTTCCTTTTTTCAATTGGGTTACTAAATCAGCAGAAGAGTGAAAGGCTGTGGATACTGCCTGTGGAGATTTTAATAAAGCTTTGAACAAAACTTTACAAAGCTTCTACAATTTTTATGGAGATAAAGAGATATGTATTAGGTGATAATTCAATTAGATGGATTGCAAACTGGTTGGATGACCGGACTCAAAGTAAAGTCTGTTTAATGGTTCAACATCAATGTGGTAGGAAGTCTCCAGTGGACTGCCTTGGGAATCTGTGCTTGGCACAGTTCTTTTTAACATTTTTATCAATAACTTGAATAAAGGTATAAATAGTCTGCTCATCAGATTTGCAGATGACACAAAGCTGAGAGGGATATTGAACATGTTGAGTGATAGAAATAATACAAAATTCAATAAGGATAACTAAAGTTTTACACTTTAGTACACACACATACACACACACACACACAAAGTTGGGGCAGTTAGGTGACACATGGATAGAGTGCCAGACTTGAAGTCAGGAAGATCTGTGTTCAAATCTGGCCTCAGAGAGTTACTAGCTATGTGATCCTAGGCAAGTCACTTAACCCTGTTTGCCTCTGTTTCCTTATCTGTAAAATGAGCTAAAGAAGGAAATGGCAAACGACTCCAGTATCTTTGCCAAGAAAAGCCCAAATGGGGTCACAAAGAGTCAGAAAAAACTAAATAATCACACACACACACACACACACACACACACACACACACACACACATACACATGCAAAAATCATTTCACAAGGAGAAGATGAGGGAGGCAAGGTTAGACAGCAGTTGATCTGAAAAAAAAATCTCAAGGTGTCAGAGGACTGAAACCTCAATAAGTCAGCAATGTGACATGGCAGTCAAATAAGCCAATGGGATTTGGGCCTATATTAAGAGGGGCCTCGCTTCCAAGAACAGAAGAGTTGAAAATTTTTACTTTCATTGATGATATTCTGTCTCCACAGACCTAATCTGGATTACTGTGTTCAGTTCTGGGTGCCACAGTTTTCAGAAGGGCTTTGATAAACTGGTGAGTGCTCAGAGTAGGGTAACGAGAACAGTGAAGGGCATTGGATCTATTTCATATGAAGACCAGTGGAAGTAACTGGAGATGTTTAGCTTGGAGAAAAGAAGATTCAGTGAGAACATGGTGACTGCCTTCAAGTATTTGAAGGTTTTCCATATGGAGGAGGCCCTAGATTTGTTCTGTTGGGCCCCACAGTGTAGAAGCTGTAAAAGAGAATGCATGGCATGGGGGGTGGGGTTTCCCTCCTCCTTGGAGGCCTTCAAACAGAGGTTGGATGTCCGCTCTTCATATGTTATAGTGAGACTCCTTTTGTGTATGGGTGAAATGACATGGCCACTAAGGTCACTCCCAATTCTCAAATGCTGTGACATACTCTGTGCCCAAGGACAATTGTCTCAGACCATAAAATACATATAAGTTGTCTATATGCCTCAGTAGAGAAAGTTTCCCTAATAGGAATTTCCTCATATTAATGAAATTATAGGCATAGACTAGATAGATAGATAGACAGACAGACAGACAGACAGACAGACAGACAGACAGACAGACAGATAGATAGATAGATAGATAGATAGATAGATAGATAGATAGATAGATGGATGGGTGGATAAATGAAAGCATAATGCAAGTCCTCTCCTGAAGTCTTCCCCTAATGCTTCATCATGCCATGGAGTAGATACTGGGTTCTCTAAGGCTATGAGAACTGAGGATTATCTCTGGAAAGTCTTTTCAAGCTGGAAAGACATTGAGTACCCTCCAAAAACTAGGTTTCTCAGGAATGAGGGAAGATATGGCTATATCTCCTCCTTCTCTCAAAGACAAACAGACATGCAGACAGAGACAGAGAGAATAGGAAAGATAAAAGGCACTTCTAGGTACCTATCTATCAATTTATTTCACTAATAATGCGTTTCTGTCTATTGACAAGTACAAGATAATAAATTGTAAGATGGAAGGAGAGGCAGAGAGAGATATGAAGACAGAGAGATGGAAAGACAGAGCCCAAGATAAAGGAATCGGAGATGGAGAGAAAGAGAGAGAGAGGGAGAGAGAGAGAGAGAGAGAAAGTCACCAAGGAATGGACAGACAAGTTCAGCTAGACAGAATCAGAGAGACAGACACAGATGGCAAGAATGAAAAACAGAGACAGAGAAGAAGGTCAAGACATCCAGGAAAAACAAAAACAGAGAGACAGAAAGTTGGTGAGAGGTCCTGAGAGACAATGAGGAAGACAAAAGCAAAATGTGGCCCCATGAAAATGGGTCTCAGTCTTTTGTCTCACTGCTTGTGCTTTTGTTTTAAGTGAAATAGATTAATCTGGAAATTTCAACCTTGTGTGTTTCTAAAGGTCAAGAGACCAAACCTCCAGAAAGCTGAGCATCCAAGAACCCAGGGGTCTGGGAGTTAGAGGACATGCTAGGTTTTGCACACAGCCTAGTATCAATGCTTTGGGCAGCAAGAAGAGACCTTTGGGACCCAGCCTTGTACTCAGGCAGCAAAGCCACATTTGGTCATGAATTTGGTAGGATAAAGACTATTTGGAAACCATGCTAAGAGTGATCCCACTCTCCCCAGAAACCAAGGTGGTATAGAGGAGAAGGTGCCCCAGAGAGGTTAGGGATTTCTCTGGGTACTGATTTGAGTTCCTACCTGTTATGTTCTCCCACTATTAGCCACCAGAGACTGACTAGTACCCCAGTTCCATTTAACTACTTAACATCAATCAACTTCTAAAAAGCAATATTTACTTTGAAAATATATTAACAAGTACAGGAAGGTACTGGTTGTACCAGGAAGACCTTCTGCAGAAGGAGGGATTTGAGCTATGCCTTGAAGGGGAAACTAGGAGTCAGATTTAAGGAAGCATAGCATTCCAGGCTAGGGTACAGCCAATGCAAAAGCCTGGAGAGAGGAAATGAAGTGTCATGTGAGAGGAACTGCAAGTAGACCAATGTATCTGGGTCATAGAGTATGTGGAGGAGGATAAAATATAAGAATTCTGAAAAGATAGGAAGGAACCAGAGAGTAAAGAGCTTTAAATGCCTAACCAAGGACTTATATTTGATCCTGGAGGTAATAAGGAGCCGCCAGAATTTACTGAAAAGTGGGTGAGTAATGGGTAGACTTATGCTTTGGGAAAATCATTTTGGCAACTAAGCAGAGAGTTTTGGATTAGGGAGAGACTTGAAGCAGGGACAGTAATTAAAAGGCTATTATAATAGTCCAGGTCAGAGGTGATGAGGAAGTGAACTGTGTGGTGGGAAGCTCCCTGAAGGAGATGTATGTGAGAAGTGCTGTGAAGGTAGAAAGGACAAGATTAGCTAGGTGGGTGAGAATGAGGGATAGAGGACAATGGCAAGGTTGCAAGCCTGAGTGAATGGGAAGATGATGGTGCCCTTGACCATAAGAGGGAAGATGGGAATAGGACAAGATTGAAGGGGAAAAAATGATGAGTTTGAGTGACTATAGACTCCAATTTGAAATATCCAAAAGGCAGCTGGCAGGACTGGAGTTCAGGAAAAAGACTAAGGCTCTAATAGGAATTTCCTCATATTAATGAAATTATAGGTATAGATAGATGGATAAATAGGCAGACAGACAGACAAACAGATGGATGGATGGATGGATGGATGGATGGACGGATGGATGGATGGAAAGATAGATGAATAGATGGATGGATGGAAAGATGGATAGATGAATGAATAGATGGATAAATAGATGGAGAGAGATGATGGATAGATCGATGAATAGATGATAGATAAATGGATATATATAGACATATGTCTATATATATACTCTATATATATATATATATATTTTAAATCATATGCATAGAGATGATAACAGAACATGAGAGTTAGTGAGATTACCAAGGGAGATAACATACAGAGAAAAGAGGGCCCAGAACAGAGCCTTGGTAGATACCTCCAGAGTTAGTGGGTATAATATGAATGAAGAGCCAGCAAAGGAGATTAAGAAGGAACAATCAGACAGAAAGGAGAATCAGGAGAGGACAGGGTTACAAAAACCTGGAAAGAAGAGAGTATCCAGGAGGAGAAGGTGATCAATAGTGTCAACTGCTGCAGACAGGTCAAGAAGGATGAGGACTGAGAAAAGACCATTAGATTTGGCCATTAAGAAATCATTGGTAACATTGGAAAGAGTAATTTCAGCTGAGTGATGAGGCCAGAAGCAAAGCGTTTAAAAGCAAATGATAAGAGAGAAGATGGAAGCACCTAGTGAAGATGGCTTTCTCAAGGAGTTTAGCTTTAGAGAGGGAGAAGAAATGCAGATGATAGCTAGCAGAAATGGAGAGAACAAAGGAGTGTTTTATTTGTTTAAGAATTGAGGAAATGTGAGTATATTTGTTGGCAGCACCAGTAAAAGGTATGTTCATGCTGGAAAAACTAGAGATCCCACAATATTAACCTCCATACATAGTATCTTGCTTAGTATTTAAAAAATGGGTTTCTGAACAATGTCTGGTAAATTGAATCCTATTTTAAATGCACTAGGTAAATTTCCTATCTAATGGGACCTTGAGTGAGCCTCTATGTAACTCTTAAGAATTTGTGAGATCCCAATGTGGTTGATAGATCCTACTCTTTTCTCGTATGAGGGGTTTGCTTAAAGCAGGGTCTTTCTACATGCAATTGTTGTATAATGGAAAGAGCACTGAATCGAGGGAGGTCACCCTATGTCTCTGAGGCTTGGCTTCCTAATGCAAAATGAGGACAAAGATATTTGCTAATATTTGCTACCTCATAAGGTTCCTGTTTCCAGGATCAAAGGAGGTGAAATTTGAAAAGTGCTGTATAAATGTCAGCTATTGATTGTGTCCTTTACTTGTTTGTCTATAGTTGTAGTAAAATTCCAGCAAGATCAACTGGTGTCTGCATAATATCCTTTGTGATCCTGTCCGCCCAGTAAGCCACCATTTTATACTTTATTGGGCTTTTACTATTACATGTCTAGCAATATACCTGGTTCTGTAAAGCAATGGCATCAGACTCAAATAAATATAGGGGCAACTAAATCCATAAGGATCCTTGTGGTTATATATTGACTTAGAAAGCCACCTATTAACATCAACTATATTTTATTGTATTTTTTTATTTATTTTGATAAATACTAACCAATTATATTTTAATCTGCTTCAGGCTACACATGGAAGTTTTATAGATCACTATATGGCTAGCGGGCCATGTGTTTGACATCTCCACTGTAAACGATGTAAGAAAGGTAAAGGACACTCTGACATAAATGTTGGAAATGAACCTCTCTCCAGTAGCACTGGATTTAGAGCTGAAAAGGAATATGGTGTAATACCATTATTTACAGAGTAAAACTGAGACCCAGAAAGAAGTGACTTGCTCAAGACCACATAGTAAATAGTAGAGTGAGGAACTGAATTGTGGTCTCAGAATCTAAATCTATTACTCCCTCCATTATACCAGAGCTTACAGTACAGTTGGAGAGTCCAGATTAATGCAGTACAATTTGTAGCAAATCATTTAAAATATTATGTAATGAATTACCAGAAATGCAAACAGGATAATATAATCAGAGTCATATTCCAGGCCACTGAGATTCAGTGGGGTATGTTTACTCCCTAGGAAGAGATGCTTTCTCTCTCCAGGAATCCAGAGACTACCATCTTTGAACCTCCCAGTCTTCCACTGATCCCTTCTTCCTTGCCTGGCCCTACTGCCACAACACTTCTCTCTTAGGGTTGTGGCATTCCCCTTCATGAGAATGAGAGTGGGTCTTTCCGGGGGTCAGCCTACCCACCCCCTCCTTGTACAACTGCATCTATGGTTGGCATATCTTCATGCTACCCTCCCCCCACCTCAATGCTATTGCTGCAGTTTCTCCTGTCTTCCTCCTACTCAGTCCCACCTCAAAATTGCTAGTTATGGCTCTAGGAAGTATAAGACTGACAGGCTCTAAGTGCTGAAAAGCTTCAGAGTAGAAAAGGAAGATGGATTAGGCTGGGTACTGATGGAAGGCTTGATGAAAAAGGCTTCAATTGTATTGGATTTTGAAGTCTGGGTGGATTTTAGAAAGCAGAGAAAAAAAACAGACTTGGATTCAGAAACCTGGGTTCAAATCCAAATGCAAATGCCCACAGATTTTCTCTCCTCCAGTCACTTTACCCATAAATACAAAGACAATATTCTATAAATCATAAAACCATTATAAATTGGGGAAGAAAGGGTGTCTTACTGTTGTAACGGTTCTGTGCACAAATAAGCATTTAGCCAGTACTTGCTGATGGGTACTTTTTAATGATCTTGGCTTCAGAGCCCTGATTTCCTACTGGGTAGAGTCTCCCTAGCCAAGACAGAGTTTGGGCAAGCTGTGGACTGTGACTTGGAGGAGAATTGTGTGAAATTGCTTTGGCCAGAGTACCAAAGGAGAAGCCCCATTGGACAGCTTGACTCAGTACCACCCACCCTTGGGTCTAGAGTGACAAATAATATTTATGTAGGATGAAGGATACTTTGCTCTGTTCTCCCCTACTGTTGATGTGGGATCAGGTTGGAGAAGCAGGTGAAAAGAAATGGGTGAAAAGCTTACCAGTACAGGAGATAACAAGCAAATCAATGGGTGAGCATGTCACTCACAAAGTCCAGGACAGAAGGAACAGTGGCATTTCTAATGTGTGCTAACTCTGTACCCAGTCACCTGATGCCCAGAAATGTAATGAGAAGCTGTCAAAGGCATCTCCTTAGGAGAGTTTTTGTTGATCAGGGACAGTTGGAGGGAGAGTGCATGGCTCCACCATAACTCAAATAATTCTACCCAGCTGTCCCAGGAAGATTCCACAGACATTCATCTGGAATTTGAGTAATTGAGGAGAAGCTGGGGTATAATGTCAGATTTCCCAGACTAGTGTAGCAGGGATTTAGCACATGCCCAGATTATCTAAGATAGAGGCATCCATATGGGAGATACCAAGGACTTGATTCTGGGAGAAAACGTATTATGCTGGCCCACCACATTGGTAGGGGCAATCTCTTTCCACTGGCTATATAGTCTTATATACTGAGATAGTCTCTCTCTCTCTTTCTGTCTGGTGGTGTCCAGGGAAGAAGGTCTTATTTGTCCTACCCCTCTCCCCCACCCCATGTGTGCATCATGCACCAAGTTGAGTAGGGGGAAGAGCCACCTTCCATTTCTCCTTAGTCCCTGTGGCCCCAAGAAACATACTTCGGATATTGGTCTCATTTTTTGTCCTTTTCAGTTCAAAGTACAAGAGGAGAGCTGCTAGTTGTAAGAGCCATGATGATCTTGGAGCCAGGAATCCATGAAGGATGTTACTGCCAGCCCAGCAGGGAATTCCTGAGAAGCCAGGGTGCTGGAGTGCCCAGGTAGGCTTCAGACTTGTAATTTGGTGGAATATGTTTTATTGGAATGGAGTTAAGCTATGAACCTAAACACTTCCTCCCCACCAAGGGAGTGTTGAGTCAAGGGGAATGGTTGGTTGTTTCTTCTTGCTATACCTTTGAAGCAAATATTCCTTTGTTTACATTAAAAAAAAAAGCTATTCTGATTGTTAAGCAGTTAAATGGAACTGGGGTATTTGGACCCCTATGATTGGAGGGATACAACTGGTAAGAACTTGAGCCAATGATGAAAATGAGAAGTGATCCAAACCCCTTAAGGGTACCAAAGAACCTTGAGGGAGGGATGAAATGTAAGATACCTGGCCTTCAGGCAGTGGAGGCCAGAGAATCATTATTTTGCTACTAACTGAGCCCATTTGGAAGAGTGGCCCATGTATCTTAAGTAGAAAAATCATCCAATTATGAAGTCTTCATGTCAGAGCCTGTTGTCACTGTCTGAGCCATACTTGGCAATGGGAGAAGTGATGTTCCTAATTCTCCAGGCAAACCTGAGTAAGGCCAGAGCTGGACAAAAGCCCTAGTGCAAGGAAGACACCTCAAAGAGAAGGTCTCTTGTTTGTAACTGCATTGAGCTGAACTAACTCTGTCTCCCACCAAGATGAGGATGCTCTGGAGTGGAGGTGGACAAAGTCCCTGGCAGAAAAGATCTTCTGCCACAAAGGGCTACAGTTCCTGTTGTCTTCAGAACAGCTTGGAGGAGCTATGGAAATGTAACCCAGGAGCTGTGCAGAACTATAGGAAGGACCCCAACTCTGAATACCTGCAAGCTGTGGCATCATCTGGGAGCCCTACCTAGTGCCTCAATCCCTAGTTAGGAATTGAGGCTCCATATAGGACTTTTAAGAAAGTGCCACTTACTGAAGGTTGTCTATATTTGCCATGTTCTCAACTATGTGTTCCTCATAGTTTTCTTCAATTCATCAAAAACATTTTTCATTTAGTTTCGTGAATTATGCGCTTACACAGGGAGTTAGTGATGACATATTAAGTGATGCCATATGGTGTCATATGTATTCTTTGGATGCAATTTATGAGCTAGAGAGGAGAGAAATTCCCCCAAACTTACCAAAGTCCTTTATCCCAAAAGACATAAACAACATGGAACAAGGTTGGAATACAGCTGGGGCCATCCATGAATTTTGGAGGGTCCAGTCCAATCTGGATTAAGGAGGAGGAGATATTTTATGTGGGTTCACAAACCCAAGCCCATTTCTTTTGAGTTTTACCATGAAGTAGGTATGTAAGAGAGTGAAGTTATGAACAGCTAAGCAAGTTTTCAGGAAGCTTGTAACACCTTTGGTCTTCTGGGGCTTCCTTCCTAGATCCTAGATTCCTGGCAGCCAAATCTCTGGGGAAGATGGCAGACAGTTCACTGGTATATCTGTCCATACCTTGGGTGTCTTGGTGGAGTCCACAATTGAGCTCCACTTCAGTACATAATTTCAAGAGTCAGAACTCTACATTCAGTTGATCCAACTGGATTTATTGAAAATGTACAAGTTATCCTAGTGGACAAAGGATCCTGATGATTCATGTGCTCTGACAGTTTCACCATCATGTGAGCTTCACTGATATTTCTGGTTTGAAGAGATGAAGAAGCAGGAAGATAGTGTTGCCCAGGACTGAAGACTAGATCAAAGTAACTTCAGGCAGGTATGTTCTGTGTTACGGGAGAAATATCTCCTCTGTGGGCTCATGGGGTGGGTAACTGCACCAATTATATATTAACCACAATGAAGAAATCATAGAGGTAAAAACCTCAGTTTTATTATTATGCTCAAGTGTAGGTTCAGGCCTCAGAGAAAACCTGAATAACCATTAGGAGTCTCAGAAGCCCTCTTATAGACAAAATTACATAACAGTGACAGAGAAATAATTCTTTTACATATTGCAATCTTGTGCATTCCTCTTAGGCCATAAAAGTTAAAGAGAAGATAGCTCCATAATCCCATACTTCCTTCAATGTCATAAAAGTTGAGCAAACTAAGTTAAATAGAGTCATAACCTCATACATCCCCTAAGGAAACAAACTTCATCAAACAAACTCTATAGGTAAACTAAGGCAAGTTATAGATTAAACTACATTTAGAGGATTCACAAACAAACTGATTGAAGAGGAGGATTTACATGTCTCCAGGGAGACAGGGACAGTTGAAATTCTTCCTCTGGCTTCTTATCTAAGGAATGTTTAAAGCTCTGAGGGCATTTTCATATCCCATGGAACAGGTTTGATCAGCTGAGGTTAATATTAAGACTGACTTTTAGTTACCCATATTTGCAGGAAGAATGGCTCTGAATCCCAAATAATAAAAGGAAATTAAAAATTTCCATAACATTGAGGTAGACAAAAAACTGGATATTTAGAAGGGCAGTAATCCATAGTTTAAAAAAAAAACCCACAGGCTGCCTAGAAGACACTAATCAGAAGTAGACCAGATAAGGATAAACAAAAGGTTAGGTATCAGGGACTACACTTAATGGACTCCTCAACCACTTTAACTGTTTCTGTCTACCTGTTATCCCCTCCCCTCCTCCCTCTGAGGAAAGGGACTCAGTCTGACCAGACTAAATCAACTCTGTACAACTAGGAACCAGTGAAAAAGAGTCCATTACTGAAAGGATGTGAACAATGATAATACATCCTCCACAACCGAGCTCAATCCCCTATCACCAGGTAACAATGTCTAATGGTAAATGTTTTACCTGATAAAAGGTACCATTAGAGAGATACTCCAAAGTGAGGCCCTTTTGACTCAAGCATGCTGAAGGGTTATGTGTGGAAGAACTTTCCTTGACAATCAAGGCAAGCTTTGTTGTTGTTCAGTCATGTCTGAGTCTCCTTGACCCTATTTGGGGTTTTCTTGGCAAAGATACTGGAACAATTTTCTACACTTCCTTCTCCAGCTCATTTTACAGTTGAGAAAACTGGGGCAAATAGGGTGAAATGAATTGCCCAGAGTCACCCAGCTAGTGAATATCTGATGGATTTGAACTCAGGAAGAGGGTCCTCCTGACTCCAGACCTGGCACTCTGTTCACTGTGCCACCCATATGCCCCATAAAGCTCACTTCAACTTATTGAATGCCTTCAGTCTGAAAATTGCTCCAATCTTGGCCTCTCTATTAGGGAAAGGTCTGTTTATCTTTCAGTAAATCCATTCCCAACCTTCTGTGGGAAGACCCAAGAGATTCAGCTAGCATGAGATGCTTCTGAGGATGGTTTCTAGACTATTACTGGTCTAGTTTTAATATGGAATAGAATTTGTGGTTGTGCAGAACACGAAAGGATTACCTCTCAAGAATCCTGCTAAGTTCCAGAATAGGAATAATACTGATCTTTCTCATTATTGCATCCGAGCCTAAAATTACCTGGTAAAATAAACAGAACAGACATCCCAACTTTGCACATAAAGAAGCCAAAACAATAAGGGACTTGTCAAAACATCGTGGAGGTACTTAGCAGTGAAACAAGGACAAGAGTCGTCCCAGATCTTCCTGCCCTTGCTGCTATTTCCACCACTCCAAACTTCTTCATTATGCTAAATGCTCTCACTTGCCCCTAATTTACATTACTGTCTCAATCAGTGGTCTCAAACTCAAATTTCATGTTTCTTTCGTGTTGATAGTAGTTACTTGTTTGCAGTCAGAATAGCCTAAATTTTGGAAAAATTTGTTCATCTAATTAAATGTTCATCTGAACAAAGAACCAAGGAACTGGCCTCACTTTCTTGCACTGGTGGCACTTTCATTTATTCACCCAGACTCACTGGCTATGAGGGGTGAGTTGGATTATTTCTTGCTCCCCATTGGTACTTCCAGGCTTTCTCTATGCCACCATCACTCAGTAATTTCATCTAACATAACATATGACATCACATCACATAACATAACATAACATAACATAACATAACATAACATAACATAACATAACATAACATAACATAACATAACATGACTTACATGACATAAATTTGTAGTGGACCCAGTCAGCCCTGTTTTGTGGTTTCCTCTAGGTTCGTACATAGGTATGAATAAAGGTAGTGAATAATGGGAGTAATCTAAGGCTGGGATTTGGTAGGGCAAGATCTTCAATAGGTTAAAGGGGGAAAAGACTCCAGAGAAATGGACAGTAGAACTGAACTAGTTCACCAGGAGGTCTGGTTGGGGAAAGGAAGGAAGTATAGCCAGTGCAAGGGTGATGGGGTTGACAAAAACTGAAAGGTGGAATGATTGGAGGTTATAGTGAGGATGAAGAATAGGGTTTGGAGTCTTGGACAGAGGGAGAGCTGGAATGGCCACAAATTCTGATCAGATAAAAGAATTTTACAGTTTATGAACATGGAAGTTGAATACTTGTGGGTGATGGCAAGGTCAAGGGCATAGATTGTGTGTAGCTGTGGTGGGGTAGAGGAATAGGTCACAGGAAACGAATACATTGAGGAGTTGGGAAGTTAGGATGTTTGAGGGCACAGCAACATGTATGATTAAATCTCCTAGTACGAAGGAAGGAGTTGGGGAGGAGAGAAAAACTGTGAGCCAGCCAAGCCCTGAACTCATTGAAGGGGAAAGGAAAATGTCGTGGAGGTCTATAGACAACAGCATCCAGAATCTTGATGGAGTATCGTTGAATGAATCATCTTAGCTTAGAGATCTAGGATGTATAGACTGGTTAGTACTGGCATTTTCTCATGAAGCTGTTGAAGGTACATACAACCTATTGCTGTTGTTCAGTTGTTTCCCAGTCACGTCCAACTCTTTGCGACCCCATTTGGTAATTACCATAAATCATCCTGCTCCCTTAAAATAAAACTCTTAAAATGACCAAAAAAAAAAGTTATTCTTATTATTCAGTCATGTCCAACGCTCTGTGACTCTATTTGGGGTTTTCTTGGCAAGGATACTAGAGTAGTTTGCCATTTCCTTCTCCAGCTTATTTTACAGACAAGAAAACTGAGGCAGCCAGGATCTGAGGCTGGATTTGAACTCAGGAAGATGAGTCTTCCTGACTCCAAGGTCGGCACTTTATCCACTATGCCACCTAACTGCCCATACAACCTATTAATCACTGACATTTCTTCATGTCCCACTTGCTTGGATTTTCAGTCGCTTTACTGCTTACCCCTACCACCCTTAGTTTCCTGTCACTTCATCTTTCTGCTGCTTACAACCAACTCTTCCCAGGACCCCCCCCCACACACACACACCCTCTGTCATGCCACTCCCGGCCACATGTGGATGACTGACATTCTCCCTTGTCTTCCTCCAGATATACAACACTACCTGTGCCTTAACTGTACCAGCACCATAAAACTGTATTCTCGTTAAACTCTACATGATGGAAGCCTACCTACCTGTCCCAAGTAAGTGCTGGATAACCCTATGCTGTGAAGCTTGTGCACTGGTCCCTACGAGCTGCAGTGCAAAGAGAGTGCCAGATCTGACCAAGGGTGGTACTCACAGCACCTTAAAATAAATGTCATTTGGGGGCTGTGGCCTACAGCACTTATATTCATTCATTATCTTTTGAGAAAGATGTTTCTTGAAAAATTGAGCAATCCTTTAATATAATACACATCTAATTTGAATAAAGACTATAGCTGCATTGAAAATAATAGGTTAGAAGGCACCTCCTTTACACCATTAATACAAGTCTAGCAGCAAAACACTCTGTTTTGCATGCATATTCTCTGTTCTGGATAAATTGTCAGGCCCCTCTGCCACATTTTTATGGATAATTAGAAGGTTGCAAGAAGCAGATGTTATGAAACTATCTGTGACTAGTCCTTAATGTTGGATGACAAGAACTCAGCACCATCTCTTAATTACATGAGACACACAGGGAGGTGGGTGAAAGAAAGAAGGGAATCTTGTCAAAGTCTGACATGGAATCAAACAGTTAATCACCTAGATTGAACCTGAACATTCCAGAAAATGTTTCAGTAGGTGAGTTAGAAACAGTTCTACACACTGAACAATCTCATTCCCATCCCCCACTGGGGGTTGAATAAAATCAGAAAATTTGTAGGTTATTGTGGTCTCTAGGACTGGTTCAGTCCAGCATTAAAAGCTCACCCTGACAGGGAAATTCCCTTCATATTCAATATCCAGTCAATTTCATTTTCCTTCATTGGATCCTTTTCTGGGTCATGTGGGGAAACAGTATTGTATTGGGTCATGAATCAGAAGGCCTGAATTTTAGTTTTATCTATTCCAAGAATTTAACCTGTGACCTTGATTAACTTACTTTTATTCCATTTCACAAGCATTTTTCCGTAGCTACTGTTTGCTAAGCATTACGCTAGGTGCTGGGGATTCAAAGACAAAAATGAAAACATTCCTGACCTGTAAGGGCTTTCATTCTATTGGAGAGATAAGATTTGTCCACACCATAAGTCGTGTTTTCACCGGCTGTCCCCATGCCTAGAGCTCTCTCCCTTTTCATCTTTGACTCCTGGCTACCCTAGCTTCCTTCAAGCCTCAGTTAATGTCGCAATCATTAAGCTATATGCCTTTCCTGGTCTTCCTTAACCTTAACACCTTCCTTCCAAGACTACACCCAATTTACCCTGTATATATCTTGTTTGTACATAGCTGCTTGTATGCTGTCTTCCTCCATTAGGCTGTGAGCTCCTTGAAAGCAGGGAAATATTTTTT